TTAAGTTAATAAACTTAAATGGTTTAAGTCAAACAGTTTGAGTTGAACTAACTCATTTGGGTTTTACAGTTTGTATGTTTAATTTTATGTTTAGTTTAATTTTTAAGGGATTTTTTACACTGTAACCAGTTGAAACTGATTACATCAAAATTTAAGTACAACAAACTCAATTTTGTAAGTTTAAAAAAACATTCTTGATCAAGTAGTTTTAGTAATTTTAATTATTTAATTATTATTTTTATTTGTACTGTGAAAACAAAATACCCAGTAAAAAGTAAACTATGTTAGTGTCACTTAAAATTACTAGTAAATCTTGTTTAATTCACAGAATTGAGTTTGTGTTACTTAAACATTTCAGTGTAATCTGTTTAAAAAAATGTTCAAATATATATTTTCTTGTTGCACTGCTTTAGGCTGCATTAGTGGAACAGTGTTTTTTATATATATTTACACAATAAAAAGAGAATAAACTGAAGATTTCTTGACAAAAATGTGTAAAAAGTGACATTCCCACATCATTGCTGTCTATCAGGCGTTCAGATCTGGTGGCGTGAGAGCAGAGCGGCGTCCAGATCTGAAAGCTGAGACGTCTCTTTGATGCTGACGAAGCTTTTTATGTGGCAGCTGACCCGTCTCCTCCTCTCTGTCTCCTGTATTTTGTTTCCCAGGGGGGCCTTTTCAGTGGTGCGCCGCTGTGTCAAACTCTGCACAGGCCAAGAGTACGCCGCCAAAATCATCAACACCAAAAAGCTCTCGGCCAGAGGTGAGAGGAGGAAGTGAAACGCAGACATTAACAGAAACATGGTTGAGTGTGTGTGTGTTTGTGTGTGTGTGTGTGTTTGTCCCAGATCTGAAAGCTCACATTAGCATATTTTAGCGAGTGTTTGATTCCAGCGTGTGAAGCCTCCACGTCTGTTCCTCCGAGACAGGCAGATGAAGAAGAAGGACGACAGAAATCAACATTTTTACTGAAGGAAAAAAGGCAGAAAGATCCTGAGTTTCTGCTCAGTTTCCACATTTTACTGCAGATTGTTGTGCTGGTTGTGACAGAAGATGCAATCAGTGTCCCTTTAAAGGTTGTTTGGAGCATTATGTCTCCGTCTTTCTCAAAGTTGAATCGTCAAAATGCTAGAAAACGCCTCAGGAATCGTCTGAAAATAGCAGCAAAATGAGTGAGATCATGATTATGGATCATCAATCTCTTTAGTTAGTCAGAACTCTTCATCCTGTAAGATCACACAAACATTTGAGTTCTTTCTTCTCTCCTCATATCCTTTGTTTCCTCTCCTGTCCACTTGCTTCCTCTCTTCTCTTGTATCGTCCTTTTATTTCCTCTTGTCTCCTCTCCTCCTCTTATTTCCTCTCCCCTTGCTTCTTCTCCTTCCTTGTATCCTCTCTTATTTCCTCTCCTCACGTCTTGTTTACTCTCTACTCCTTTAATTTCCTAACCTTTTATTTCCTCATCTTGTTTCCTCCTCCTCCTCCCTCCTCCTCCTCCTCTTCCTCTTTCTGGAGCGAGGGGGTAAATGGGCATCTGGGACGAATGCAGCCCTCCGGCCGTTCTCACAGATGTAGGAAAGTCGTTTGTGTGTTTGTGTGTCTCGTCAATCACCTTGAGAAAAGTTCCAACTTTAAACTTTATAAACTGAAATTAGGTTTTCCTGATTCATCAGACGTCACTGACACATTTGTAGACCTGTCTGTCTCTCACCTGTCTGTCTGTTGAACTGTCTTACAGATCATCAGAAACTGGAGAGAGAAGCCAGGATCTGCAGATTGCTCAAGCACTCCAACATCGGTGAGACTCTTCATTGTTTCCTCTTTAAAATCACAACATTTAGGTTATACCGGCCTCTTTTTAGGAACCTGTGACCTCTTTACGTGTTTTATGGATTGTAACCCTTTTGGAGCTCCAACTATTACAATAAATTAATAAATAAAATTATCATTTCAGTGGTTTCTGTTGTAAGGGAAGGCATTTTCTTTCAGTTTTTATATCAGTGTGTACCAACGAGCAATTACAGGCAGGTGAACCGTACCAGGCCGTTAGCAGATATCCTATAATACTCTCCGAGAGACGATCAACGTGGGCCCTCCAGCTATTATCAGTGTGACCCCTGAGGTACTTATAACAGCAGACCTGAATAACGGACTCAGGGAGGGACAGTTGTAATTACTGACCTTTTTATCCTTCAACTACACAATAAGAGAAATATAGAATATCACCTGAATGTTTCCCAACTCGTCAAATACTGGTTCCACCTCTTACTCCCTTTAATATAATTTAAACAGGTGAGTTTATATATAAATTCACCCCCCAGACAGTCGTCATGAACGGAGAATATTATTATTGTTACTTCCATGTTTGCTTCATTAGCATCCACATAGGTATTTAAAGTTAGCAATAGTAAATATGCAATCTAGGCTTTCAAACAAAGCTTGCGTGGTTAATGTTGTGTAACAGTCGCACTGGTTAGAGTAACTTAGGTTACTGATGTAACTTGAGTATATTATGGAAGTTAACTTTGGTAACTTAGAAGAAGTCAACATTTACTTTTGGTTTCACACAGGACACAAACAGTTAACCTGAGTTTACTGGGAGAGCAAAAACATGTTTTTCATCAGTAAAATGCTTCAGTGCCGTTCTTTGAAATACTCTTTAAGTTCTGATGTAACTGCCAGCACTTCCTGTAAGGACTCTGATTGGTTCAGTACCACAAACTCACAGGCTGAAGTGAGATGGATTCTTACGTGATTTTGAGTCCAGCTGCTTCGCAAAGGTCACAGACGGCGGCGTCCAATGTTTACTGCGTTCACCATCTTTACGTCACGTTATTACTCGTCGGGCGCTGACTGTGCGACTGTATTTGACGGGTTGGGAGTGAGGACGGGATGACCTTTCCTAAAACAAACACTAAATTATATAATGTAGTTATTCTAAGATTTATATATTATAAATATTCCTCTCTCTCTCTGTTTGTCTCCCTGCAGTTCGTCTCCATGACAGTATCTCAGAGGAGGGCTTCCACTATCTCCTCTTTGACCTGTGAGTTCCTCTCTTCCTCTCTTCCTCCTCTTCCTCCCTTCCTCCTCTTCCTCTCTTCCTCCTCTTCCTCCCTCTCCCCTGATGCTTCATCTTCCATCACATACTCCCTTCCTCACTGCAACTGTCTCCTCCAGGCTCCCTTACTTTCTCTCTTCCTTTGTACTATATCCGCATTCTCCTCATTCCTTCTCCGCGTTTCCAAGGCAGTTTCCCCCATTACATAACAGTCCTCCCCTCCTCCCCCACCTGCCATCCTTGCGGCTTCCACTTTAACACACACACACACACATTTGAACCACAACAACACAACACACACCACCACAACACACACACGGAATGCATGCACACCACCCCCGCCCACCCGGGAGCAAAGAGATCTCCCATGCAGACCCAGTCGGGAGTGAAATCCTAGCCAGCCGGGGCTTTCCCCCCCCTAATCAGGGACATCCCCTCCTGTTCTTGCTGGTGTGCCATGTGATCGATGTGTGTGTGTGTGTGTGTACGTGCTGTGTGGTGTGTGGCTGAAACGCAACCCCCATGTGATGGATAGTAGTAGTGCTGCTGAGCCTGAACTGAAATCAAAAACCCCCAAAAAACCACAGCCACGGCCGTCGCCCGACCCCACGCCCCACCACCTAACCACACCACGCACCCACCCACACCAGCCCCCCACACGCCGCCCGCCCTCAACACCTCCCCCCACACACACACCCCCACCCAAACACCCACACACAACAAAAACAACACACAACACCCAGCCACAAAGAGAAAGAAAGCGAACAGCCCAGAAAACAAAGCGTAACAGGAGACCAAAGGAAAACCAAACAAAAGCAACAGTAGAAAAAAAAAAATGAACGCATTATATCATTTTGGCACTTTTTTCTCTTTCTCTTAACCTCCTGGTCTTTTACGCTGTTCTCAGAGGCAGTGAACTTTTGAGGAACAGGACGGGGGCGAAAGAGCTGCCGCTGGTTGCGGAGGGATATTGCTGGCGGGAGGGAAGTGGAACGGTACAGTGAACGCAGATGCGAGTAAAACACCCGAAAAACCGTGCGTTCTTCCGCTCCTCTTCTTCATCCCCGTGCCATGTGTCAGTCCTCCAGCTTGCCAGTTCCTGTCCACCGCCCGGAAGCCCCCCCCCCCACCCCCTCCCCCCCCCCTCGAGAGTTTCGCAGATGCGCGGTTCTCATATTTGAATTTTTAACACCACCATATTACTACCTATTGTTAAGTACCTTAATAATATTTTTTACAAGCGGTATAACCGGATTTCACTTTCTCGTGGATCTAACACCGTACTACTCTTATTTGCGTCCGCCGAAAAAAAAGATGTGAGTACCTGCATCTTGGAGTTCGACCTCACCAAAGCCGAGAGTTTTACCCCCCTCAAGCCGTACAGGAATTTTGAACAAGACAGAATAGGAAAACATGCTTACAAAATGCCCCACCCACCCCATGACCACGCTTTAACCCCCCCCTCAGGAGGTAGACTTAAATCAATCTTGACTGCTGCGCAAGGCGGTTTGTGCGCAGGAAGCCCCGGAAGACGAGACCGAGAGACGGCAGGAGAAAAAGGAGAGAGGAACTGACAACATAAAATTCCGAAGGGGGCAACAGGGGGAAAAAACCGAGGGCGAGAACGAACAGATCCCTCAGTAAAACGCGTTTTATTATTATTTTCCAGCTGTTCTATAACATGATCGTGTATTTGGTCTCACCTGCCTGTCCATATTTACCGTCTGCCTAACATTACGCTTTTACTTATCAGCCCTAACTTCTTATACTCAAACATTAAAGAAACCAAAGTGCTCATAATTTACAGCACCCCCGTCAACCGAAAAATTGAGAAATGAAGAATTATGAAACAAGCTAACTGTATGTGGGCATTAACACTTTATTGGCATAAGTATGAAGTAGTTTATTTTTATCTGTTTTAATCACTTAAATCCAAGAATTACTGCCCAACAAAGGTCCCAAGCAACATAATTCATTTAATGAAAAACATGACATTTTAGCATAAATTAAAATGTAATTAAAATCACAGGGCTAAAAGTGCTCTCAGCCGTCCAGCGAGCATTAGGAGCAGATCGCACTGCAGGAACTCAGGACACAGGCAAACCATCAATCCAGTCTAGGTTTTCAAAAATAAAATTACCGTTGAAGACTCCAGGTTCACGAATTTTCCACGGCCCACACAACATTATTAGAGGGAGATTTTAAGCGGATTAAACAGCACCGTTTGCTTTCCTTTTGTAAGACAAAATACAACAAGTTAAAACAACATGCACGGAGCCACCCCTCAAGGGCAGCGGAAAAACTCTCTCGGTGGAGATTTTAAGCACATTGTTGTGGCTTGTTGTTTACGTGAGCCTAGATTCCTATTATCCATTTAAATATGCAACGAAAAAATATGTGCTGCAAGAACAAAACAATTAACATCCTACATGCAGCGCTGGTGGGGTTAGCTGGCTCACTAGCCAGCACTGGTTACTACACCTGTATTAGATTAATTAAATTCAAACTCGTCAAAACAAAGCGACACAAACCGAGTGCTGAGGTATCTCAGATGTTTTTCTCTCATCTAGTTATTTTCCCCAATACCCATCTCACTCGGGCCTTCAGATTCTCCTTTGTTCTCTTTGCCATAAAATTATGCTGAACAAGCCAAAAAAAAGACCAAAAATCAACCCCACCACCCAAAAACATGCTGGATGTGCATCACTGGATATGTGTTTGTGAATGGTTGTCGGGTGTGTGAGGTTAGCATGGACAAATTGAAAACATTAAACCTGGTCCAACAGCTATCCTCATCTGACAGGAGTTTCCTCTTCTGCCGCTCCATTTTCTGCAACCACACACACTCGCCCCTTTCCATCACTCCCTTGCTGGCTGTCTTTCCACCCTGTTAAAGGGCAGGGTTCACCCCAGAATACGCAGAAAACAAAAAGCACATACTTTTTCTCTCTTAATCACAGGTTACAGTCCAGCATGCGCAGAGACTTTCATGTGCTCCAGGTTTTGAGATTATCAGTCACACACAGAATTCGGTTTGACAGCTTGCTTTTAGCAACGAGTCCATTCTGGAAAAACTCCCATAACAAACTCACCCTCAGCGTACCGCTGGTTTGTGTTCAACTGAAGAGAGCTGAACTGACCCCCCGAATCAGTTTGCTACATAGCAGTTCCCGCGACCGTTGGAAGGCAGGACGCAGCCGCGAGGGACGTCAGGAGGGAAAACCAGAACAATATTCTTCTCCACTAAAATCATTGGATCCAGTTTCACCCAAATCACTAGATAAAGTTGTGGCTTTGGTAACAGTAATCAATGAGCTACTGGGGTTAGCCTAACTAAATGAATCTTCAAGATTGATTGACGGGTGAATGTCAGGATATTATTGGTTGAAATCAGTTAGTTCATGCTGACGTAAGCACACGTCACATTTAGTTTTACAGGAAGACAAAATGATTGGATTCTGATATAAAAAAAATGTATTTTTTTTGTACATATTTTTTGGCGTACATTGTTAAATAGAGAAACAATATAACTGAGGATGAACACAAACTGAATCCCATTGACCTCCATTATATTTGAGTGGCAGAAATCTCAAAACCTGTAAAAAAAAAAAAGAAAACTATCAGCGAGTTAAATGTGTTTTATTTTGTAGTTCTGGTGGATTAATAACTCTAACTCGATCTTTCTCACTGTACACGTCCTCCGTATTTCCGTCCTTTTTTATGCTTCGTTTTCCTTCCTGTGTTCCCTCCTTTATCTTCTCCTCACCCTGTCGTTTTGTCTCCACAGTCACTGTATCCATCAGATTCTAGACAGTGTGTCTTATACCCACCAACATGACATAGTGCACAGGGACCTCAAGGTGTGTGTGTGTGTGTCTCATTGTGTTGCATTGGCCCTCTGCACAAGGGGCTGCTCTTTTACATGCTTGTGTTTTTTTTTAATTTAATTTCTGCCTGTGATTTAAAGCACTGTGCCTGTGCCTGCTGTCTGTCTGTCTGTCTGTCTGTCTGTCTGTCTGTCTCTTGTTGCCTGTCTTCAGGTCCTTGCTTTTGGGACTCTTGTTGCACTATTTTAGCCCGGTCTGAACTAGAATTTGTGATTTCCTGCGGGTCCCTAGCAGCCCGAGCAGCGTACTCTGTGAGTGAGTAAGCATGAAAGAGAGTTCAGTGGAGTAACGGCGGAGCAGCGCCGGCTTCAGATGCCTGGAAAAAGCTGCTAAAATGTTTCGTCAAAGGCGGCGTTGCTTGAATAAATTACACAGGAGAGTGTGCAGGTTAGACACAGTGCCTCCCACATGGAGCCGCAGCTCACTCCCACACTGCCTGACTAACACTCGACTTTCTTGGAAACCAAAAATAGCAAATACTGCACATCTTCTCCCCTCTCGTAGCTCACAGACAGGTTCACACTTTATTTTATTGTGTGCAAATGTGAGATGATTTTATATATATATATATATATATATATACTGGAAACGTGTGTGTGTGTGTGAGTGTGTGTGTGTGTGGCTCGTATTTGCTGCCTCTGCATGGATGTGACAGTTGGGGGCTGAG